TTGTTTTATTCTCGCGAAATGAGGCAGTGTTCGGCCGAGCATTCGGAGACAAACGGCCACTGAGAAAATAAGAGACATAGAAAAACTCAGAGAAAGAAAGAAGACATAGAAAAAGATATAGATAGAAGCAGAGAGGAAGACAGAAAGAGATAGGAAGACAGAGAGAGAGAGATAAAAGTATAGAGAGAGGGAGAGAAGCGAGAGAGAAAGAGAAGACAAGGAAAAAAAAGAGAGATAAAAATAGAAATGGCGAGAGAGAAAGAATCGCGAAACACGAAATTGCGGCCGACGAAAAGATTTAATTGCGAGGAAACAGAGTAACTGGAGTGTGCTAAAAGGCTTCCGAAGTGCGCGTAACTACGTTAAACAAGCGGGAACCCGCACGCAGAACGGGACGATGTTCGTTTTATTCCCGTCATAAACCGGCCCCAAACATAAAAATCTCTGCGCTACGCTGGGAACAATGGCCGACCGGAAACGAATGACCGGTCCGAACTAACTGACTCTGTTCTTTTCACGATACATCGTCGATGTTTTCGATCTGTTTAATTCTTTCGAGATCTCGTTCTCGAGAAAAGAATAGCCTATAATATATAAAAAATCGTTTGGATCAATCGATTGTTAAACTTTCTTGTGATCGAATATTAATCGAAGACTTTATTTGGAATAAAATTATTTTATAATATAATCAGTGCAGATTTAAAATGATTTATTTTTGAATGTTTTTCTTTGTCCTGTGATAAAGTAACAAAACTGTTTTATCGATCTAATATGGATATAAGTTTGGAATAATTGATTATTGAATTCTTTCTTCTGTATAAAATTTAAATCTATATAAAACACGACATGAAATATTCAATAGCAAAGAACATGTGACGATATATTTAAGAGTGAAACAGATTTTTATTTCGATTTTATTTTTAAAGTGTTTATAAAAAATTTAATTTGCATCGCTATATCTATAAAACAATAAAATAGAGTTTATCTGTGGGTTACGATTCGAGTCTAATCAAGAGGATCTTTCTTTAAGAATTAAGATTAGATAAGTAGATTGAGATGACGAGAATGGAATATCCAGACTAACGAGGAAATCATTTCGTGGCCTGATCAATTTGGAGGAGTTCTACCTGGACGACAATTGAGTTATTTGTTAGTGAGCTAAAGAGAAAGCTATATGAGTTTCAATTGGATCGATAGTGTTACCGAGCATGCGATTCGATGGATTGCTGTATCTAAAGTTATAATCAATTGACGTCCATTCAGGAAGATATATGTTCATTGCATCGATTTTCATAAGTTTGAATATAATTAAATCCAGAATAGTATATCTGGATTTTATAATTTTTAATACCTTTCATTTTGACCTTTCAGATTGATATTTACTTATGTTTTTAAATTAATGATTTATGGATGAAAATTGTCAAAATGATTAACGATAAGATAAAGTATAGTTGGAAATATTAAATCTTCGATTCAATAAAATCGAGAAGACGGGTTTGATTTCCTGATCGACATATGGAAATGTAGATATGATCAAGTGGAACAAATTGAGAAGCAGGAAATTAAATAATACTTTGAAATACCCAAGTGAATAAGTGTCGCCTCGTTGCTATGATATAATAATTAATGACAGAATTTAGTTACTGGAATTAGATGTGTTCAAACCATATAGAACACTTTAATTACATTCTAATTTAGACAGAAGTCTCTTTCTATTTCGCGAGATTAATGTTAATAACAAATAATATCCAATTGAATAAAAAAGAAGATAGTAATAAAATAAAGATAAAACTTAATATTGAAATAAATTAATTATATCAAAATTTGATATGTGAATATGTATATTGAATCTATCTTGAAAATTTTTAAAGGTTATAAAATTTTTTCAAAACTTGGCATTGCTACTATAGATTATTGTTAAACAATCTTTGGAAATAAAATTAATTTATAACACGTTTTCAATCATTGAGGATTAAAGAAACTGAAAATTCTAATTGGAGGTAATTGTAACTAATATTTTTTATTCAAAAATATTCTGTTTTTTATCATCGTATGTAAGCTTTGTCAACAAAAACTTTTATTATAATGTTTAATAATATTTCCAAAAATTGTTTGTTTTATTTCAGCTTATCTGCATGAAGAATCGTGATCAATTTGGTATATTGCATTAGGTATAATTTTTCGAAAGGGATTAACGAGGAGTTCAGGAATAGTCTAATCGCTTAACCAACCGACGATTAATGGGTTCGTATTAAATCAGCTCATTTATAGTGGGCTGTGTGTAGCTAATTTCGCTAAATGCATCACCTGTCCGTGGTGCAAATGTGTTCCTAACTTGGTCGAGTTGGAACCAAAAACGATTATTAAACTCTTTACCATCGATTCATTTATAAATTCCAGGCATGTCTGTGTGAGAAATTAGAACGTAATTAATGTCATCTAGAGGCGTAATTATAGTTGAATCGAGCCATTTCCAGAACTATTATAAAATAGTGAAAAAATATAATTTTATTTGGAATTGGAATATTTCGTGCTACGAATCGAACATTGGAAATGACAAAAAGCTCAAAACTCGATAATTTTTATTTTGATGATTTATTGATTAAATTTTTTTCTTGTAAAAATTAAGTTTAAGTTCTGGAAATCTATGATGTTTGTAGATTTATGGAAAATTTAAATATACAAAAAGTACAAAAATGCAAAAAATGTAGAAAAGTGCAAATGTAAAAAAAAAAAGAAAAAAAAATGTAGAAAATACAAAAAGTTAAATGTGAAACATTTTAAGAAGAAATTGATAAAAGTTTTTCTGCAATTTTTTAAATAATCCTCTTTAGTAAAAAGTTTGTAGCTGTCGCGATATTCTATGAGCGAAATGGGAAAGCTGTTAATTTAAGAGGCTGATTTGATTTGCAAATCAACGACAAGACGGTGTCGCGATTATCTATGGGAAAAGAGTGATTTAAGTGGGTGGCTTAATTTAAAAGTTGATTGCAATGCGATAAGAAAGAATCTATTATAAAAATAAAGATTCCTGCTATTCGTCGAATTTAAAAATTAAAAAAAATTATAATTTAAAAAAAATTATAATTAGCATAGCTACGAATTTATTATTAAAAATTGAAAAAAATTTTTTAAAAAATCGTTCTATTAATTTTTTAGAGATCCAGAATAATATCTATCAATATAACAATTTAAATTTGAAAAAAAATTAAGAAAAATTAAATTCTTTAGTACTAACTTTTTGCTATTGTGAATATTTATTTAAATTGTTCTAAATCGGTAAAGCAGGAAATAAATTTGCCCGGCCTCGATTAAAGTAACAGCCGGTACCGATTTGAGGCTAGTTACCGTGTTATTAATACATAGCAATCGCTTATTAGAAAGTTCAGTTCTTTTCACTTGGTAAAAAAGGCGAAACAAGACTGCGTATCGAACTCTATTTTCGTACAATATGTGCGCTACATCCTGAAACCCGGTCACGTTCCGCTATTCGAGTGCATTTCATTTAAATTCTCTCCCATTGAGATATTTCGACTGGAAATGAAGACGAAAGAGAAGAATCGTGTACCAATCGAGTAAAATTTAAAGCATTCTTCCTATCTGCTACAAGAAATATATTTATTATTGTTTTCATTTAATTATATTTATTATTTTGAAAGAAAAATTTATCTCGAAAGGATTAAATTCACGTATGACTAATAGAAAATATACATAGACGAAACGTATTTCCCGTGTGTACATGCACATGTATTGATAAATGCGTACATACACAAACAAATATATACGTATACGCAGAAGCCGCAAATGGTAAATAGACAAACACACGGAGATTGAAACACGTAAATACACATACGTATGAGAGAACAAGCAGAGCACCATTATGAAATCGAGTGAACATAATGTTGATAAATTATAGATTTCCATTTCCAAATAATAAATAAATCGATTTGAATTATGTTGATTGAAAAAGGTTATAGATGTCTCAACGATGTAAAAATATTTTGGAAAATATTTTAAATATGCAAAAATTTAGGTTATACCATGTTTTTTCATCATCAACATCAACGAATTATATTTCCTTTATTTCAAAATTTTTTTAATAAGTTAAATCTTTGGAAATTCAAGCTACATATTACAAGAAGAAACGTAAACGAAATTTCGAAAAATTACGCAAATGTCTTGCACTTGGAATGCCTCGCTTTTTGTTTTTTTCCTCTTTCTTTTTGCAATGAGTGTCGCGTCAAATTTCGTCGAGCATTTTTCTCTGACATTTGCAATATTTGCAATATCGTGTAATGCATCGTGTGAAATATCTTTTTCGAAGATAGAATGGAGAATGTAAAACTGAAGGTACGTATTGCGACAATAATAACTTTGTACAAAAAGCGAATTCTAAAACGAGACGATAGATTTTCTCATTATTTAATTTTCTCATTATTTTATTTAATTTTTTATTTTTTTTGTTCATATTAATTGAAAAATTGCTAAATCATTCTATTCTTTTATCTTTTTTTCAGATTAATTAGAAAATGTTTTAAGAATATATTTCCAATTTTTATTTCATATATTTTCTGTAATATTAGTTATTCTCTCCAGCATACGTTCTATTCTTTCTCATCGCCAAAGACATTTCCTCGATGACGGTGAAGCTTCATTTCCATCCACGTGGTCGTTAAATTACACCGTCGAGAAGAAATATCCGAAGATGTCGTTGGCTGTTCTGGCGCAGTATTAGGGCGTCGATCATAATGATAGATTGCCAGTGAAAAAAGAGACTCGAGACAGTGTATTTTACCCGATTCTGGCTCGACACTTTTGCTCGTTTGTCTTTTCGCGCATTAACCATCGACGACGATCCTTTGAGGCACCTGTTTCCGCCGGCAAACTCCGTCCTTGACATACTGTCTATTGTAACAGACAGCTCACTTGCGATTTATTATCTCTATTTCTTTTTCTGAATCTAAATTTTTCGTTATGAAGGAACGTGTATTATAATTTTCTGAAATTGAGCGATTCATATTGTACGTCAAATATATTGCGTAGTTATCTTCTATCTCGTAGAGATAGAAAGTATAAAAATTTCCAATCCAGGGAAACGATTAAGATGATATATCTGACGTACGGAATGTCTACAAATCGTCGTAGAAAGTGGACTGCACGCGACGCGGTTAGAAATCTCTTTGGAATTTCTCCATCGCTGTCTCGGGCGCAAAAACGGATCACTCTCTAAAAACTTCTCTTCTCGATGAGAACAGTTTCCTCGGGATATTAAATTTATCTCGTGAACGAAACGAAATCTTACTTCTGAGAAAGAAATAAAGATTGTCTATAAGTCTGTCATAGTATAGATCGCTCGATTATAGATTACAACATTCTGATATTTTTAAGTTTTTTATTTAAATATTTAACACAATTGGATAAATTATCTATTTATAAAAAGAATAACATTTATTATCGACGGATGGTAATAAGAAGATTTCGATAGAATAATAGAATAATATAAATTACTAAATAACAAAAAATAACTAGCAATGGAACTAGATAAAATAATTTTAATCGTAAATGATAAGAATAATTAGGCAAAATATCTAGAAATGAATACAGACGACAATAAGAATTTTAATCGCGATATTAAAAATATCAAGAATAAATAGGCAAAAATAACTATATATAATAAAACTAGAACAAGTCGTTATAATATCAAACGTCTCAGTACCCGTCCATCCAAGTAATATCTCGAATGTTTCATTTCTCTCGGAACGATAATAAAGAGTAGTAGTAATCTCGCGGAGGAGGCTCGTGATACTCGACTTCATTCATCGATTCCAACGTATATACGTACACAATTTTCCCTTTCCTATACTATTCGTTGCCTCCTTGTGGCACGAATTCGGCACACACGAAGACACACAAACCTCGCCAGACATCCGAACAATTTCCTTTTCTTCTTCGAGCGTGGCGCCGCCTTTGTGATCCTGCAGAACGTTATGACACCATTGCCACATTTCGAAGATTTCTCAGTAATTTGCATTTCAATCTCCAAGATAATGCACATGGGACTTCGATTCAAAACGTATCTTTTCTTTTCTTGCTTATTTTTCAACGTATATACCGAGTTAATAAACGATTACACATCTAATTTAGATCTTTAATATTTTCCAGTTAAAGGCTGAAAAACTATTAATCAGAACGAAACTCGAAAATATTTCATATTAAACAATTTCATATTATTGTAACACGACGATACTTGCTACAAAAGCTTACAATTCTTTCATTATGAGAAATAGTAAACGTGTAAGAAGAACAGTGAAATCGAAGATCTAAGTGAGACAAAGCCGCATATTTTTTCATGCTTAACCAAATTAATACGACTTCCTCGAGTATTCATCAAACATCTCGCACCAATTGAAATTTTCTCAGACAGTGTTCGAATACATTTCCACGAGAAGAAGATATTTCCAAGCCTTCGTTTTCATCTAAAGAATTAAAGACGATGTTTCCAACGTGTCGGAAGAGTATCTTTCACGCAACGTTCCTCTCTCTCTTCTTCTGCATATTGGTGCATTAGAGCGTGCATGCACGATGATATTAAGATGGTAGCGTAATTAACGAAATATTGTTCTCTCTGGTTCGAAACAGAGATATCTCGATATTTCGATATTTTAATTTTCCAGGTGACCATTTTTGTGCTTTGAATTCACTCTCGGTGGCGACAAATGACAAAATTTCATTGTTTCTGAAATAAATTCAACGATACGTGTTTTTAAGAAGAATCATATGATTGCAAAGAGAAAAATTACAAAAATTAATATTTTTATTAGATTCGAATTCGGTGTACCTTTATCTTTAAGAAACCTTTCCATTCTCTGTGCAGTCATTTTTTCATTCAAAATATTCAAATACTTTTTAAAATTAATATTAACTTCAAGCATAATTACTTTTACAATATCCTAACTTTCATCTTAATTGTGTATAACATTTTTGAATAAATTTCATAAATTGATAGTTCTAGTTGCATACAATTATGAATTAATTTCATAAAACATGGAAAGTATTATTTTGTTGCACACTGTACAATCTTTGATTTCTTATTTATAGTTCAATCACGTGTACAATTTTTCAAATATTCTTCTCCATGTGGATATAAATATCTGATTTTCTTTTTCTCTTTCTTTTCATTTTTTCGTTTTTTGCAGCTTTTCTATAAAAGCATCCAATATCACAAGCAGTTCTTTATAATTAAAGCAGTCCTTTATAATTTTTCAGTAATATCCAGGGAAAATTCAGGGACGGTGGAAACGTTTGTTTGCTGTTTAATCCTTTGGAATAGGAATAATTCAAGCTGAAGCACTCTCGAGGAAAAAAGAGCTGTGAATTTGGAAAAAATGTAACGTGACACACGTTAGAGGAGTATTATCTTCAGGTATATCATAATAACGTGCAATTTGTAAAATAAATTAACGAATTCTCTTTTAAATATTTGTAATTATTTATTTATAGCGAAAGAGTGAAATTTAAAAATCTCTAGTAGTTCGATTCATTAATTATTATTGAAAATTCTTGGTCGATTGTCGAAGAGAAAAAATTCTAGAATTTTGATTTAATCATTTGATTCGGCTGGCTTAACCGACTTAAAGGTAAACGATAACGAAAATTAGACAAGTTTGGATGATAAAGATTTATCTCCTGATCGACTTATCCCAATCTAATTACGATAACGAAAATTACATAAGTTTGGACTAGGACTATGGATTGCTCCAGATTCATATCCAAAATTTTAACACAAACTTTCCATAGAAAAACTTCAAAACGCAATTTCCAAATTTAATTTTAAAAAAAAATTCACTCTCACTTCCCTTACATTCTGCTCGAATTAAAATCTCGAAGATTTCTAATCGTTTTCCATTCCAGATTGAACGATCGAATCTCTCGGCCTCTCGAATTCTTTTATTCAAAAATGCTTTTCGCCAAAGTAAGAACGGAGAGGAAGGATTACCGAATAAGGATAAAAATCGAGAAGAGGATAGATTTCCACGTCGACGACGAGTGCAAGAGCGTCAGTGAGAGTTTGACCACTTGGGAATCGAATCCTCGCGCGACCTCGACTTTCCCTTACCCCCCATTTGACACGTTAAAGAGCCGAGGGAATGTTGGATTTATCGTCGTTTTTTTCTAACCCCTTGGATAACAAAAATCCAAGTGGGTATAAAATAAAATGAAACAATTTGACACATCAATCTCACGCTTAAATTAATGTAATTGTATTAAATTTCGAAAGAGGATGGATATTTTGGAAAATTTATGAAATAAGGTGAACCAAGGTTTGTTAAAAAAAAATATTCGATCACCTCTCTTCAACTCTTTCAAAATGTCTCCCTTTTAGGATTTCAAGAATGCATACTAATCAACATACTAAGAAACAATGGACAGAGAATTTGGGATTTTGTGGACATGAATGGACAAGCTGATGAACTCTCGAGCTTGCACGAGGATGATCTGCGATAATTATGCGAGTGTCTTGGCACACTCTTGATCTTGAGGATACAGAAAATCAATCTCAACAATTCTAGAACATTATATACATATGTATATATATATATATTGAAAAATTTATTTTTAAAATTTCTTGAGAAATATTTGATAATTGGTTATCGATCTTACGTGGAAGATAAGAAATGGTGTTTGCCGAACAATGGACAGAAACGTGGGACACGTATCAAGTTTGGAAACGGGTTAATTGGTCGGAGGAACGAATCGACCGACATCGACCAGATTTTATCGGTTTATTCCTCGAGAATCGTGGATCCAGAATCCTGTGAACCGGATAAAAAGTATCTTCCACGATATCGACGCTCTCTCTCACGATGGCAGGAGTTGGATTTAATTGGCTTGGCCGGCCAGATGACCTGTAATAAATCGTAGAAAATAACAGTCGAACGAGCAACGATAGCTGGAGCTTGGAAACGATTCTGAATTCGATGAAACGTTTTTTTTTTCTTTTTTGTAAAAAGGAAAAAGAAATTTCCTTCGTGCGTTGGAATGCGTGTTAAAAATACGAGACTTAATAACGCCGACTGGAAAAGTAGGTATTTTCAAAGTATCCTTCCTTTCTCTTTCTGAATTTTTTCTTTTTTGCAAAATCGAATTCGAAAAATTTTTCGTTAAATTTCTTCGCCAATAATGTAATGGATAAGATTCAATGAAATTAAATAGCTCGGTATCGTCTTTTCAAACTCGAGAGCATCGACATTTATGTATATTCCAACCCAATAATTTCACGCTTTTCAAACGTTTCTAACTCGCCATTCCATGTTCCAGTCACGTTCCCAGTACAGTTCTCGAATGCATCCCGAATGCGTTCTCGCTATAAATCAAATCCAGAGGTGTCTGTCTCTCCTCCCACCCTACTCCAGTATGGATACACCGAATCGTCGAGGCTCGCACGAGTATCCATTTTCTGAAACGATATACGCGTCTAATGTCGCGCAACGATTGCTCAAAAAGCGCACTTTCACTCGTGCCGATTCAATGACTATTGGTACACCCTCGAGTCCTTGTAATAAATATCAGGTCTCGTGTTAACGATGACATATCGTGAAACGATATTTCTATTTAACGTGGATCGTTTGCATTTCGAGCGAATTAATCGAATGTAACAGTAACAGTATCAATTGTAAATGATATTTTGGGAATAAGTATAATATGGATAATTGAGAGAACGTGTGTATAACAAATATCGTGAGAGTTTCACTCTTAAGGGTGTGAAAGTGTTGAGAATTTAATTAGAGGATGAAGTTGGGGGATACATGCCACATGGGGAATTTTCTTTCTTTCTCGTCTGAGAGAAGAGAAAGAGAGAGAGAGAGAATGGCATGGTTTTTGCTTGAATCCTTGGCATTGTGTTCTTAAAAAGCTTTGTAAATTTCTGGCGTGTAAATTGTTTTCAAGAGAGTCGTCGCGTGACAATTGTCTACTATCGAAGCATTTCAGTGAAATGTCAACCTTCGACGCGTAGGTGTTTATAGGCTCGAGAATGATTGATTTCATTCCACGAAGATCGATCGGATTTTATGTGTGAAGGACGGAATCTTGACAAATTGGTTATATTTTCTCCTCCTTGGCGCGAAGGTGGCTCTCTCTACACAGCTTCTGACAAAGTAATCTCCAACGATTTTTATACACTAGAAAAATCCAGATTGATGATGGTTGATAATCATTCTTCCTTATTTCTGCTGTAAGTCAAATTTTTATTTTTATATATCGATATTTTTTTCCAAATTTTTTACAATTAATATTATTTAATATTATTTATAATTTTTGTAATTTTTTTTCAATCTATTATTTAATATGTAAGAGTATTATTTATTCTAGAAAGAATTTTTTAAATTTTCATTTTTTTTTTTATAATGCTTATCAGAAAATTTAGAATTCGAAAAAAACGAACTGGTATCTTCGAAGATTTGAACTCGAGTCAATTTGATATGAAATCTGAGGTCTTATTCGTTGAGCCATTCGGTCTTTTCGGCATTCTATTCTATTTTCGAGTATGGATTTAGAATTCCTACACGGGAGAACTTCCAAAGCTACTTAACTATTCCGATCCGAATATTTTTCTCGAAAATCTTTACCTGTCACTTTATCTACTTTCTTTCTTTAATACAAAAACAATTTTCTTTTTCCAATACATAAATGCAAGCGTAAAAAATTTAATTTTTATTTTTTGACAAATATACGCATAATTTTCAGTTATCTTTGAAATTTCACATTATTTTAACAATTTTAAAAAAAAGTTAAACGATTCCATTAAACGATTTTCTGAATGTTTAATTTTCGAAAGATTAAAATCAAAAAAAAAAAAAATCGGCAAATTCTCTCAGCATTTCGATTAATTAATTAATATTCAATAATATTTTTTCTTGCGTTTATTGAACGTAGAACAGCGTACGCGTTTAAAATCTCAACACTTGACCCCGCTCGTTGTTCACTGATAACACGAGAAGGAACAACGACCCGACACAAGTTTGCACTTATCTAACGCTGGTCAGCGAGATTAACGACAATCTCGTATGCATGGCACCATTCTGCGTGTGATATTTTTCACAGAAAACGATTAACTCTTATGAATATATATACGTATATATAAAATAATTTAAAAGATAAAAAAATAATTCAAGCCTGTACACAAACCTTTTCACACCTCTTTATTGCTCTAATTTCTACAAACTTTCGTCACGAAACACCAAATACGTTTTCCAAAAAAAAAAAAAAAGAAATTATTATAATACATCCTTAAGTGTACAAAATGGTCAAACTGGTCAATCCAAACTCCTTCCTGTCCACACTGGTCAAATTATTATTCGCAAGATTCAATGTTTTCAGGGCTGGAAGACCTTCGAACGCACCAGGCTGCACCACGCCTATCTTATTGTCGGACAAATCCAACTTCTTCAAACTGGTCAACCCACTGAACACTCGAGCCTCGATCGTGGACAGCTGGTTCTTCCTCAGGTCCAATTGTTCCAACTGTTTCAAATCCGAGAATGCCCCTGCCTCTATACCGTCTATCTGATTGTGATGCAGATTCAAGATCCTGAGACCGATCAATCCTTTGAAATCTGTCTTCGAAACCCCGCTCAATTGATTGTACTCCAAAAACAAGCCATCCAACTTGTGCAAACCCTTCAATACACCTTGCTTGATCGACGTCAATTTATTGTTCTCCAGATGAAGGCGGGTCAACTCTGGCATCTGACCAAACGTACCACTCTCCACGCTGGAAATCTTATTGTCGTTCAACCAGAGGAACAGCAACGACGAGGACAATCCCGAGAAGGAATTTTTATTGATCGATCGGATGTCGTTGTGCCCCAGATAGAGCCACATCAAGTTGGACAGATCCGCAAACGTGTCTTTGGGTATGTCGTTGATCTTGTTGAAGATGAGTGACAACGAATTCAATTGTTTCAATTCGGAGAACAAATTGGGCGAGAGTTGTATAACGTTGCTGTCCAGGTCCAATCGTACCAATTTATCCAAACCTTTGAACGATTCCCTCCTCACCACGGATATCTTGTTACCCAAACCGAGGCTGAGCTTGGTCGTGGACAGATTTTTGAAAGCGCCCTCCCTGATGGAGAGCAGATTCATGTCGTGGATCTCCAGCCTGTCCTCGAATTCCTGTTGGGTGACGTCCACCAGTGTGCCTTTCCTCTCGCACACCTTGTAACCGGTTATCTGCTTGCAGTGGGGTTCCTCCTGGCATTGGACGATCGTCAACAGGAGCAGAAGAACGAACGGGAGGATGGAGTGCGGAGGAGTTTCGATCATCTCGATCTCGGCCGAGTTTTTTCACGTGCCAACGCGGCTGTCTGAACGGCTCTCTTCGACGAGATTATTTATACAATGCTTTGTTGGATTGCACAGAGTTGCATTGAGTTTGGACGGAAGGGAAGGGGAGCCACGACCCATGGCACTATTATCTCGCGAGGAAATGTGGCTCTCAACCTCGTCGATTAATAATTTCCAACATTCGTTTGTGCGAATATGCAGAGAATTAATTAAAGGATTAAAGGATTCTTCGAATCTGGTTGAAACGAGGGAATAAATAATACAATATATATTTGAGCTTGAATCTGAATTGATTAAGGAATTTTTGGGATAATAAGATTTTTAAGAGAGTTATATTAAATATGTATTAGAAATAATAAATGTAAAAATGAATAATACCAATTCATCTTTCTTGTTCAGGTAAGTTAAATCATTATGTATAAAAGTTATCAAGGCTTGAAGATTTCTGAAAGGCATCAGACTCCACTTTTTATTTAATCTTATTGATAGATAAATCAAGGAAATGCAAAGGGAATAATGGACTGAATGTCCGAGACTCAATTATGGACAATTCATTATGCATCAGATTTAATTGTTTCAATTTTTTTCAGATCTGGAAGCAGAAAAAGCATCTGGTAAGATTCTTACTATTCTATTGTAATCCAGACACAATATCGTTGTTCAATCCCTGGAAATCTGTCTTGGATATGACGCTCATTTTTCTCCAAGAACAAATGCAGATCTCTTAAGACTCCTTGAATAGACGTTCAAATTATTATTCTCCAGGTGAAGTATGGTCAAATTAGACATCTGATTAAACGTTCCAACCCTTATATATTGGAGATCTCATTATACCTCCAGCCAGAGGTAGGAGTAACGACGAAGACAATTTCAAAAATGAATTCTTGTTGATAGATTGGATGCCATTGTGATTTAAGTAGAGCCAGATCAACTTGTGCAGACTAGCAAACGAGTCTTTGGGTATATTATTTGGGTATATTTGATTTCGCTGGAGACGAGAGACAGCCAATATAACTGTGCCAATTCCGAGAACAAATTTGGCAAGAGAAGTATCAGATTATTGTCTAAGTCTAGACGTTTTAATTTTTGCAAACCATAAAAATTCTCTCTCCACTACAGAGATGTTATTCAAATTGAGATTCAATTCGGTTATGTTAAGATCTTTGAAAGCTTTTTTTTTTCAATAGTTTGTAAATTTAGGCGAATGAACAGACTGTTCTTGGATCCTTCTTGAATGACATTAACTTAAAGTTCCATTGTTCCATATTTCATAGCTGTTCTTGTAAAAATATTGCGTCTGTGATGCGATAGAAACGAGAAATGAAACGACCGCAGAAAAGATTTGATCATGTTTTCAGCTACTACAAGAATGATCTCTGATTTTATCGAGAATTTATGTGCCATGGTGCCAGCAAACTTCGATTGAATCGAGGACATGATCTTTGACACGGTTATTTTTGCGAGAAAATAAAATTCATTTTCAATTGATTTCGCTATCATATTTCTATTTAGAGAATATGCATTTATCTTTTTAGAATATGCATTTATCTTTTTTTTTTTTTTAAGTGAAAAACAAAAAATTTACGATCTTTCATAGGATTTTTATCCTTCGTGATATTTTACTTTCGATAATTTTATTCCAATCTTCAGGCAAATTTCAAATCCTTTAACAGAAAAAAGATAATAAGATAAGGTTTTAATTTGCATATACAGAGTGCAAAGTTTAGACGTAGTACATGCATCCCCGATTCCGTCCTCGTGTACTGAAAAACACGGGAGAAGGGAGGAAGGCGAGAGCAACACCAGCCTAGTTCCACGTAGTCGGGACACGACCGTGAACTTGCGTCGTCGGTTTTCCCAGCCGGCACTCGGCAAGAGAGGCTGTCTTTTTTCTCCACGACCTACTTTCCCCCAGCGGGCCATTCTTTGAAACGTGCCTTGTGCTTTTTCAAGGTAAATTAAGCGATTCGAAACAGGGCTAATTATTCCTGGTCAGTCGAGACTTCGAACGTTTAGTAAAGAATCGAAAAGTGACGAGAAATAAATCTATTCAGGAAGAAAATAGAAGAGAATAAAATAAGAAAGCATGAAGTTGAAAATAAAGAGATAAAAGAGAAAGAAAAGATAAATAGGAAAAAAACAAAGAGATAAAACAGAAGAATAATAAAGGAGAATGATTCTAAATAACTTTTAAATGAAATTGTAGAATGAAATGTCAAAGCATTTTATAATGATTATGATTAAATAGTAACAATTATGGTTATCAGGTGAGATTTTAAATATTATACTCTCATTTAGATAATAGTAGAAGGGATTGCAGAAAAAACACGATGCAATTGCTACGCCATCTACCATCTTTCGAAACAAAACTTTTAACTTCATTCGTACATTGAATTCTCTCTCGACAATTTAAGGTTATCATCCATTTAATTATTATATAGATACAAGATACTTTTTATTCAGGTAATATACATTATTATTGATTAAATGTAATAACTTTAAAAAAAGCATCGAATTCTATTGAACGGATTCTGTTTTAAAATAAATCCAGGTTATACAAATAATTCAATCCATTGAATACTAGGAAATGATGAATAGTGTTTCCAAACAAGGACAATATTTACAACTACTTCAAATTTGAAAAGCATTTGATTTAATATTGGTTATCTGATTTTCGTTCAGATATAATAATTTCATTTCTTTCAAAATTTTTTTGATCTTGTTTGATTTAATAAAAGACAGTATTTCTAACCTTTCTGAAAACAGATTCGACGAGAGAGATATCGAGTTCTCGTTCATAATTTTAGCGTTTTCAATCTTTTCAATCCTTTGAATGATCTCTTCTCTCTTCACCGTGAATATATTATTATTGATACCAAGTCAAAGCATTTTCTTCTATAGTTATCAGATGGAAATTGTGAATATTCAATAGTTTTTTGCGTGTTTCGTGTTTAGACTAAGTTGCATGCACAATAATAGGTTATATTTATACGTATACACGTTAATTGCGATGCGATGATTATTAAAAATGATAAAATAATTGAGAAACAGATAATAGAGAAGATTTAACTATTTTGATACTAAATTTTTACTCATTACAAGAATAATCGCGAAACAGTATTTTCGAGAGTTTATATGCATTATTTATTGCACAAATTCGATCACGAGATCGAATCGAGAACACAATTATCTTGTAAGAAAAAAACGCTTTCTCGAATTAAAAATGCTTTTTCATGAATTCGAAAACTCGTAATGTGAATATCTAGAAATTTTAATTTTGAATCTATAATACAGTGTCGTGATATTAAATTAAAATGTTGCAAAGTGTCATAACAAATGTTATATGGAAATGCATCTTGCAATGAAGATAGCGCAATTTGCTTCGATAAATCGAAAGAATGAAAGAAAAGAATGAATTAAGACGAATTTGTGATAATGATCGATCAATCGATCTTTGACTCAACTCGAATTAACTATATATATTGTGATTTTGAAATTTATCGAGAGAAAGAGAAAACAAAGAATAATATTGAAAATCTTTGAGAATCTTTGAAAAAAATTATGGAACAATTGGCTAATCATAGGTAAATTTTTATTTTATTTTTAAATTCATAGTTTAGTTTTCATAAAATAGTTTATTTAATGTAGAATTATAAGTAGTCAAAAATGTTCATATTTTCAATTCTATTTATTAAAACAATATATTATTTCATTCCAATATATTTTTATTATATCAAGATTTTTTTTATATAATTATAAAATATTATAAAATATTTATCATATAATATTATAAAATATTATAAAATATAAGCTTATGTAAACAGAAAATTGAATATTTGCCGAAAATTCTTTTTTAATTTTTTCTTTTTCATATTTTTTGGAAGTTTATAATGCATATTTTCATATAATTAATGTATTAATTAAAAAATTAAAATAATTAAAAAATTTCTCAATATTTGTTTATTTATTAATAATTATTAATCTATAAATATAAAAAAAAATATAAAATTTAAATCAACTGATTTATCGAATCAATAATTATACACTTCGTTTGTTGTTTTAATTTCTATATTCTTCAAAACATTACATAACATCTAAACACGTCATCCAAAGATTACTACATTCTTATATATGCACATCAATTGAATCAATCAAGTCAATCCAAATTTTGTCTTATCCATTGCAGTTAAATTACTTTGTTCGAGATTTAATGTTTTCAGCGCTGAAAGATTTACTCTCTATTGATTCTATAATAGGACAAAACGACTTTTTTCACTGGGCAATTCATTAAATATCTGACTCTCAATCGTGATCAAGTTATTTATTCTCAGAAACAATATTTCCAGTTTCTTCAGATCTGAAAACGTGTCTGGCTTGATTGGTTGTCTGATTATCATTTGCAAACAACATTCTCAGGTTAGTCAATCCTTTTAAGTCTGTTTTTTATACTGCTTATACTTATTATACTGCTTAGCTGATTTATAAATCCAAGATCAATAGATCTAATCTAATGTAAATTTTTTTAGGATCCATGTATAGATGTTGTTTTTTCAATACGAGTTGACGAAGATAATTATGATCAGTCTTGATCAATTATTTGAAAATTAAAATACAATTTATATTGACCAGCGAACGAATCTTTGAATATTTCCTTGATCTTGTTAAATTTAAGGAATAGTGAACGCAACTGTTTCAATTTGAGAACAGATTCGAGGAGAGAGGTATCATGTTGTTGTTCGGATCTAAGTTTCTCAACTCCTTCAATCCCTTGAACGATTCCCTCACCACGGATATATTGTTACCAACATCGAAGCTCAGTTTCGTCATCACCAGATGTTGGAAAGCGTTTTCCTCGATAGCTGTCAGCTCCAAATGGTATTTGTCGTGTATTTGAATTTTTCAATGTGCGTCAAGTTTCTGTCACGTGTGCATATAATGTATTAGTTTATGTCTTCGCAGAATTGCAAGTCGACGATCATTACGAACGGCAGAACGATTGAGAGAGTAAATAATAGAGAAGATTCGGCCATTTTGATGTCAAGTTTTTACTCAATAGAAGAACAATAATATCTTCGAGAGTTTATATGCTTTGTATATTGCATAGTGTTGCAAAAATTTGATTAATCAGGACCACGATCTTTGACTTTTGATTATCTCGTTGGAACGTATTTAGTATGAATAATTTTAAAAAGAAAAACTGTTGATCTCGTAGGAATCTATCAAATGTAAATAATTCAAAAAGGAAAAAAATAGGATAAAAATACACGATTCAAATGCGATTGGGCAATATTAGTCCGGTGATATAAGATTTATAATTAAAATATTACTTTAATTAGAAAATTCGTTAATATGACATTTATCTTTTCAAGTTTTAATTATATTCTTTCGAGTAAAAATAGATTAGATTGGATAGATTAGTATTAATAGGAACAGTATTAATTAATACGATTATTCTTTTAATTAATTTCGATTATAAAATTCTCATAATTTTCCTTCCATTATTATCAACCAATACAAAATTATTATTTGACCTTCCTCTTCATTAAATGTACTCGTAGTCGTGTTTCCTTGGAATATATTCAGATCAGTCGAATTGGTCAGTCCAACCTTCCCCCTGTCCACTTCGGTCAAATTATTATCTTCAAGATGCAATATACGCAGCTCGTTAAGATCAGCAAAGCAACCAGACTCTAACGTGTCGATCTTATTCTCATTTAATTCAAGCCAACTCAGTGCGGTCAAGCCGTTGAACAGCCGAGAATCAATCGTGGTCAATTGATTGTTTCTTAAAAACAAGTTTTGCAATTTCTTCATATGTGAAAACGTCTCTGGATCGATACTGGCTATCTGATTGTTGCGCAGATTCATGCTCTCTATATTTGTCAATCCCTCAAAATCTATTTTGGATAACCTGGTCAACCGATTGAACGCAAAATTAATAAATTTCAGATCGTGCAGACACGTCAAGGATCCTGGCTGGATAGACGTGAGCGTGTTGTTCATCAGATGAAGCTCTTCCAATTTTGGTATCTGGCACATAGATTCAGCATCTATATTAGAGATTCTATTATTGTCCAGTTGAAGCGTATCTAACGAGGACAATCCCGAAAACGAATCCTTGTTGAGCAATTGGATGTAATTACGTTGTAAGTGGAGTTTCTTCAAGCTGGGTATACCCGCGAACGAGTCTTTGGGTATTTCCTTGAACTTGTTGTTTTTTAGAATCAGCAAACGCAACTGTTTCAATTCTGAGAAGAGATACGGCGAGAGTGGTATCATGTTGTTGCTCAGATCTAATTCTTTCAACATCTCCAATCCCTTGAACGATTCCTTCTTCACTCTGGATATATTGTTACCGATGCTGAAGCTCAGTTTGATGGACGTTATATCCTCGAACGTGTTCTCGTCGATAGATGTTAGATTCAATTCGAAAATATTTATCGTGTCCACGTCCCTTCTAACCTTCACCAAGCTTCCATTATTCGTGCACACATTGCAATTGTTTATATACTCGCAGTTATAAAATCCCGATGCACCGATTACGAACAACGAAACGATCGAGAGAACGAATAACAAGATAAATTCGCCCATCTTCTCTTCGCTTTACTCACTCGCGGGAACTGATTCCACTTTCGTGAATTTATATACTCTATTTATCGTGTAGCTTTGCACAAATTTGATCTCTTGACACGATTATCTTGTTGGAAAAATAGTATCGTTGAATCGCTGATCTCATTGAAACGTGTCTGGTAAATAATTAAAAAAAAGAAAAAAAAAAAAAAGGAAGAGGAGATGAAAATAGAAAATGGATTCCTCTCCTCTGACAAATCGCCAATTTGTGATTTCAAATTTGGCCAATCGGTTCTCGAGATGAGGCTCTTTAATCGTAGGAATTATCGTTTCCATTTAAGGAGATCGACAGGTCGTGTCGAGGACCAATCGGCCAAATTACGCTTAAAATTCCAAATTGGCGATTTATCGCGTCCTTGACACTTTTTTTCCAACGAGGTGGCGATCACTTGGTCGATGGAGGAGACGATTTTCAAGGCTGGTGGCGTCCCCTCCCATTGAGAAACTTTCTAAGCAATCGAGAAGATTAATTTTCTGTTTAACGAACCAAACATCTCACTGTGTGACATCTCTGGAAAAATCTGGATTACGATTTCGCATTTCACAGATGCTTTTTTTTTTTCTACAATGTGGAGCATACGTTACAATGTAACGATGATAAAACAATGATAAAAGATATTTCTGTTCAAGTATCATTTCTTTATCTATTTTTTGTAAAAATATGCATTTGCATAAATATCCGTGTTCTATTTATAAGTTATTATATTTTAAATTTACATTAAATAAATTAGGATTTGTTTTTTTTTTTTACAGTGTGCAGTATAAATATATTTGGAAATATATATACTGTTAGGCTGGTATACAAAAATATAGAAAATTTTGGACATCTTGTTTATTAATTTTTCTTTGTCTAAAATAATTGTCAATATTGATAAACATTCATTATAATTTCATGATATTTGTAAAAGATATTTTATGCAAGATATACGAATATACGAAAACTAATTTCTTCTTTCTAGAAAAAAAAAAATAAATAAAAATTTAAACGAAATAAAATTTAAATGGAAATTAAAATAAATTTAAAAAGGAAAGTTAAAAAAAAAAATCTTCCATTTTCATCGATTCCTATTTTTCGCCTCTGTCCGCTTCATTGAAATTCGCACAATGATCCTCGATGTATGGACATTGGAAATATTCGTCCTTCGATATGTTCCAACGCTCGATTCACGCATTTTCGTCCACGAAGAGCACATAATGAGCGCGTACGCAGCCGCGAGCCAACCTTGCGAATATCGTTTGTAATGCAAGGCCGCGCGGTCGACTCGTTATCTATCTGCAAAAGCGGCAGACGCGTGACAAAGAGTTTATTGTTCCTTCGTGAGTGGGAGGAGGATTACAGTATCCTCGCATGTGTGTGCTCGTCGATGATTGATCGCTGTGTTAAAACATTCGATTCGAAACGAATCGACTTTGAGCCACCCACGTGTGTAACTTTAATGTTTCTCGAGAGATTCACGTTCGTTGACAGATATGTTTTATTGGTAGGCTCAAGTGATTATTCTACGGTATTCAATTGTATTTAATCGTTTTTTAAGCTCATGATATGATGATATAGACAGTGAAAATTTAAGGAAATGAAAAAATTATGTCCGAGGTATTGTTTTTTTGGTTATCGACAATTAAAAATGAACGCGAGTTGGAAATGTAAAGAAAATCAAAGATACATAAATGTATTTTCTATTCTATTTCAATTGCCTTTATTTTTGTTGGTTTACTCGTTCAAATTTTCTATCATTATTTCGATTTGAACGAAGTATAAGAATTACGAAAAAAGAATAAAAACTGCACGTGCCATGGACTCTATGGATCACATTTTATAATTAGCCGGTAATGTAGGGAAACATTATTATCCTTTGATAATTATTAACGTCACACGTAATTAAGACAAGTGTATAGAAAATAGATTATATTATCAAATTTCCAACATTTATAACCAAATAAAATTTCAAATTATTAGCATTAGCACGTAACGAAGACAAGTGTACGGCGAAGAAAATCAAAAAAGTTTTTGTGCGAAAAGAAGTATCTGTTTAAAACGAAAATATATCATTTGATACTGTTCACTTTCGATTATATATGAACTATAAATTTTTATTATTAAAACTATTTTAATATCTCCTCCACTAAGTATCTCGATTTTTTTTTCGTTCAAATTATCCATCACCGTTCCATTAAATGCAGAAGCTCACCGAGCCATTTTCCTCGATACAGGGCAATTAAACAGCATTATTGTACATTAACATCCGGTACACGCCATTATACTGTAGATGCAGATATCGTACTCCGCGTACTACGAATTTGACGACGTTCTTCGACTTCAACATTTATCCGTAAATATATAAGTTTATTGAAACTTTTTATTGAAAGAACAAGCATTGGAAATTTTTATTATAAGTTATTATTATATTTTATATATATATTTTTATTATATAACCGCGAATATTTCAAAATTCATTTTGCAATGTTCTTTAACACTTATGATATAAATTGAAAATAATCTATAATATTAGATAAAATAAAAGAAAAGGAAATTGGCAATGTTGAAAACGTGTATGATGTTTCGCGTCTTTATTACGATAGATGAAAGCATTTAAGAGAATCTTCCTTCCTCATGGCGCGCCGGGGAGATGAATCTCGCTTCGTTTTTATAAAGAAAAAAGAAGAGAAAAAAAGAGAAGCTTTGGATAGTTTCTATGAGAGGCTCTCTCTACAAAACGGATGGAACCATGAAGAATCGTCTCTATATGAGGGAACGTTTCTCTATGAAAGAAGTGGTTTCGCGTAGGATCGTTTCTGCGAGAGAGTGTTCTTAAAAAAAGAAAAAAAAAAGAAAGAAAAGAAAAGAAAGAAAGAAAAAAAGAAAAAAAGAGAAGGGAGAAGTGGTAGACCTACGCAAGATTTCTAACGCTATTTTTCTGTACAAAAGATGAATCTGTGTAGGAAAATATATAAAGAATTAAATGGGCCCTAGCAAGGTGAATGAAATCTTTTGAAACCTGTCTGGATTTCAAATCTGTAAAAAAGAGATTTGAATATATATCAAATAACATATACTTTTACATCATTCTATAATTTTTTTTAATTTTTTTTGTTAAAGTATATTTTGTATTAAATTTCATACGATAATTATTAAAAAAAATGATTTATTAAAAAAAAAAGATTAACGAATAATTTTTAAGAAACAATTTAAAAACGAAGATAGAAAGAGAAATTCGAAGACATGTCCTTGAATCTTGATGCAGCAGTAGTATTCTAGTCACTTGTTGAAATTTGACTTTCAAATAATTATGAATTGCCTTGCTTTATACGATTTGCTGTTTTGCATAAACTATAGAACCATGTATAAACAAACTGATGTTCACAATTCCTTCATAAAAAAAAAGAAAAAAAAAATTGGCAATCCAATATAATAAAATCCTTCGAAAAAAAATTATATGATTTTTATTTTCGATATTTTGTAACAATGAAATTTTAATATCTTATAATATTTTTAAATTTTATTTATTTAATTTTTTTTCAATTTTTCTCATACATAAATTTTTTATAACAGTAATATGTTATACTGAAATATTGACATTTCTACCTCTTTTTCAAAAGTAATATTTCAAAATGGTAGTACATTTAGTATTTTGTGAATGTTACATACAATACGTATTTCTGCAATATACCAAAAGCCTCCTAAAAGTGAAAAGAAACTTTCAAAATGGGACATATACTCCTGTTTCTATAAACCATATCTGTACTAACGTCTACTTTGAATATTACACGTGCCAATGTTGAACGAGACTCGTCGAAATCCCAAGTAACCTTCGCTATTCCAATCAACTCGAACACAGGAACGTTTCCGGGCACCCGTTCAATTTCGACCGAAATTGCAACGTGATACGAAATTTTTTCTTTTTTTCTTTTTTCTTGAAAAAATAAATTATTTGCAAGTTATAAAAATATTTGGTATCGATTTGGCCATTATTTTTCATCAGATTAATATTTAACGCGGATAAAAATGGAAACAATCAATTTTGACGTGAAATTAAATAGAATATAAATATTATCCATATTTCGTTATTAAAATCTTTCATTCAATATAAAGTTTCGGAATAAATTTAACCTAATATAACTAGCATCATTGAACCAATCAAATTTAAGTACATGTAAGTATGCCTTAATTAGCATTCGAATGGTTATAATCGGATTCGATTTATTCAAGTGTTAATCAATTTTTGTTACGTGTTTTTCAAAATATTATAAATCTATAAATAATATATCTCACGAGATAAAATAGATATAATAAAATTTAAATTAAAAATAATATGATATCATTTACTGAATACATTTTAAAGTGAATATAATAATCTCTAATTTAACCTACAAGTATTTTTAACCTATAAGTATATGAAGTACATAAATATCATTACGAATAAACTTTCTACGCGATCTATATAGTAATTTTCATGACTCGAAGGAACAACAAGCAAAGACATTTACTGTCATGATGCTGTAATTCTCTTACGAGAACGGAATGGCAACTTTCTTGCCACGCCTAATGTCAAGAGCGCCATTTTGTATCCTACACTCTTCGTTCCATCCATTCTCTGTACCTGATGTTCACTTGCGAAAGGACAAGTTAAACAGTAACTCGAACTCATGCAAGGTAAACGATAACAAACTTTAAATTTAATTAATCTTATATTATGATTCAATTAAGATTAATAATCATAAATGTCTTAAAAGAAAGATTCAAAGATTACATATCTTTTATCATTGATTAGCATAATTCAACATCGAACATCGTGATTGTGTTATTATTTTTAAATATTTAACTATGTTAATTTTATTAATAATATATAACAAATAATGATATCGTGTCTTTCAATATATAAATAATCTATTTTTAAGAAAGAATAAATAATGAAATAATTGCATTTAGATTTAGGTTAGAATTCTAAAGGAAAAAATTTTTTAAATAATATATTATGAGAAAAAGTGAAATTCTATATATAATTTCTATAAATTTATGTATTTTCATTGAATATTCGAATTAATATTACCAAATTCAAAAGAAAAAAATATATTTTTATCTGGTATCTATTTTGTACAATGGATTTTAATACAATATTCTGTATTATACAAATCATACAGATTATGAATTCAGTGAAATTTAAAAACTTTAAATAATGAAAATAACATAGATAAAATTATTGACTCTTGAAGTGATGAATCTATTGCATTATTAAAATGTCAATTGATATTTTAATAATGCAGATATTGAAACTTAAATTTTATTCGTAGATATCTTTAACAGTGAATAAATGTTGAATAACGAAGTAGTATCTCAATTTCAATTATCTTCTTTTATTTAAATTTCTCCAAGCATGCATAAAAAAAGAGACAAATATCGAGCTTCCAAAAAAGAAAAGTAAAATTTTAAATTCATTTGAAGCATTAATATGAAGATATTTATTTCCAATATTATCAATTTTTTCGTTATATCCATGTTCTGGATTTCATTGTATTCGCATCAAAATACATTTCAAACAAATTTACCGATAATCAATAACATCACGAATATTATTATTCATACATTTAAATCATATTTTTAAAACTTTTCAAAATTGCATGAAACAATTGAAAATGATATAATGGAAGAAGCCACGTTTTCTATTTCTTGCACAATCTAAATGATTTGACCTTTTCATATGATCCTCTCTCTTTTCTTACTTTTCAACAACAATCGTTGATAAAATTCAATATGCAATTATTAAATGATTAAAGTTGAATTCAATACAGCTGCACTCGAGTGTTTTTATCGATTCATATCACCTGTTCGTTTCTCTGCATGTCGAAAAATTCTTCGCTCTACTCTCTTGTAACTGTATAACCTTTCGCGTTTTGCGCAACCAATATTCCGATATGAATACAATCGAGACTCGTGGATGTTTTCGCTGGAAGTGAAGTAAAGAATGATGGGAAAAAAAAAATTCAAGGAAGAAATCGCAAGGACGATCGAGCATTTGGATCTTTTTCGTCGATTTCTACGAATTACATAAATTCGAATTTTCTGTCGGTTTTACATAACGAATCGAGAGTCATGATATTAATCGATTTTAGCAGTGAAGTTTAAAATTATTAGGAAATAAAGTTACTAAATTTTACAATAAAATGATTTATTGGATATGAATTGATTTTCAAATTAATTAAATATAAATAAGCATAGTTGAGAGGATAAATTATAAATTAAATCAAAAGCGAAAGCTTCCTGTGACACACGTTCGATCTTTTATGAATGCTTTAGATAAGCGTTTATCGAGATATCGCTATCGCTCAGATCTAATCGATATCGCAAGATCTGATGTATTTTAAACTAAATATTTAATTATACCATAGTTTCGATGCATGATGATAATTTTATAAAAGTATAAAATTAATAAGATAATAAATATAATAAAGATAATTAATATAAAATGAAATTTGAAATTATCTCTACTATTGAAATTAAATATCTCGTTGAAACAATTTGTAAATTATTTTTTTAGACTGAAAAAAACATAACTCAAGACTAATTTATTCCAAACAATTCTTTTTATTTAACAATTTTAATATTCAAAAAATTAATTTCAAATTAATAGAAAAATTTCTTTGAAAAATTTAAAATCAGAAATATAATATCTATATAATTTCTAAATTAATTCATTTTTTTCAGATTAATCTACTTTAAATTTTCTTTACCAAAAAACAATCTTAATAGCAAGAAATTAAATCTGAATTAACAGAGAAATTGCCTGTTAAAAATTTCTCTAAACAAGATATTATAGAAAAGACAAAGCACGAGAAATATATAATTAAAACGTACCAGAATTAGTGTGACCGTGTCCAGTTCCAGTGCTATTTGTTGCCGAGTGAACAGCGTTGCTTGCAGCATTTGCAACATGTTTCAATGCGCTTATCACCATCATATCTTCAACTACACTTGAATCACGACTATTCCATCCAGGTACACAATATCCAAATAATCCTCGTATAAACTAATCGAATTTAATTTCCAACTTTGAATAGTCTCGAAATTATTATCTTCATCATCTAAACAGGTCTTCCAGGTTAACAAGATACATCATCTTGTATGCAAAGAGAATTATTATTACTATTTGATTATTGCATTGGATGAAAGGACCGAATTTTTAACGAAATTTTTAATAGGTTTGATTAAATATTCTCCATTGGAAAAGAAGATTAAAATTATTACAAATGAAATATTTCATTAATTGTTGATGGTAATTCTTTGATTTATTTTTCACATTGATATTTGCAAATTTAAATTTTTCATGCTGAATTAATAAAAATACCTTCTCAAAAGCTTTTTTGCGTTATTTTAAATAATATAAATAATAATATAAATAATAATAAATAATACAAAATTTGCCTTCTTATAATAAAACAATATACGTATAAAATATTATTCAAAACATACAACAAATATCATTTAACATTAAAATTATTTATATAATATATTTATTTTAATTACAATTATTTATATATAAAATTTGGCATGAAAAATAATGTCATAAAATCATAAAATAAAAAGTATATAATCCATTATTTTTTTTATGATTATTTTAGAATTAATGGTACTCACTAAATTCTGATTAATTTTATTCACAAGAATCGGTCATTTACATATGCAATAATCTAAAGAATAGAGCTATGAAACAATTTCAAGCACAATTTCATGATCGTTTGCGCGTTTAATCCAACTAACTTGGAAAGGTCGAGGAACGCGTGGAAAATGAGGAAAAACGAATGTTCAAGGAACACAGCCAGTCATGACTGTCGTCTAGACACGACTAAAAGTCGTTCCA